TGGGCCATGCTATGTACTGCCTGCTGAGGAGGAGAAGGAGGAGGAATGAGGAGGAGGAGGGAAGAGGAGGAGAGAGGAGGGAGGACGAGGGGGAGACGGATGAGAAAACAGAGAGGAGAGAGGAGGACAGAGGAGGAGGAGAACGAGGATGAGAAGGAGGAGGAGGCGGAGGAGGAGGAGTGGAAGAACGAAGAGGAGGAGGAGGAGGAGGAGGAGGAGGAGGAGGAGAAGGAGGAGGAGAAGGAGGAGGAGAAGGAGGAGGGAGGAGAGAGGAGGGAGGAGGGAGAAGGGACGACGGAAGAGGAAGCGGAAGAACAGGAAGAGAGAGGAGGAGGAACAGGAGGAGGAGGACGAAAAGAATGAGAAGGAGCAGGAAAGAGGAGGAGGCCAGGATGAGGAGGACGAGGAGGAGGAAAGAGGAGGATGATAATGAGGAGCAAGAGGAAAGAGCAGGGGAAGAGAAGGAGGAAAGAGGACGTGAAGGACGAAAAGGAAGAGGAGGAGGAGGAGAAGAGGAGGAAGAGAAGGAGAAGGACGAGGAGAGAGGAGGAGAAGGAGGAGCAGGAGGAGAGAGGAGGAGGAGGAGGAACACAGAGGAGAAAGAGCACAGACGAGGAGGAGGAGAAGGAGGAGGAGAAGGAGGAATAGGAGGAGGAGTAGGTTCAGGACAAGGAGGAACTGGAAGACGAGGAAGGACGACGGAGGGGGAGGAGGGAGGGGGGAGGAGGAAGGGGAGAGGAGGAGGGAAGGGAGCAGGAAAAGAGCGAAGGAGGAACAGAAACGGAGCAGGAGGAGGAGAAGGAGGAGGAGGAGGAGAAGGAGGACGAGGCGGGAGGAGGGAAGAGGAGGAGGACAGGGAGGAAGACGCGGTCGAGGACCAGGAGGGGGAGGAGGAGGAGGAGGAGGAGGACCAGGACGAGGAGGAGGAGGAGGAGGAGGAGGAGGAGGGGGAGGAGGAGGAGAAGAAGGAGAAGAAGAAGGACGAGGAGGAGCAGGAGGAGGAGCAAGAGAAGGAATGAGGAGGAGAAGGAGGAGGATGAGACTCGAGAGAGAAGAGAGGGAGACAGAGGAGGGGGAGGAGAAGGAGGAGGAGGAGGAGGAGGAACGAGGACAAGGATGAGGAGGAGGGAGAGGAGAAGCAGGAGGAGGAGGAGGAGGAGGAAGAAGGAGGAAGAGGAGGAGGAGGAGCAGGAGCAGGAGCATGAACAGGAGGCGGGGGAGGATGAGGAGGAGAGAGGAGGAGCAGGGGGTGAAGACGAGGAGGATGAGAGAGAATGAGGATGAGGAGGCGGAGAACTAGGAGGAGGAGGAGAAGAACGGGGGAAAGAGGGAGGTGGAGGAGGAGGAGGAGGAGGAGGAGGGGGAGGAGAAAAAAGGAGGACGGGGAGGCGGAAAGATGATGCTGATGATGATGATGCTGATGATGATGATGATGCTGATGATGATGATGATGATGATGATATTGATGGTGATGGTGATGGTGATGGTGGTGGCGATGATGATGTTGGTGGTGCTGGTGATAATGAGAATGCGGATGATGATGATGATGGTGGTGGTGGTGATGATGGTTATAGTGGTGGTGATGATGATGATGATGATGATGGCGGTGATGGTGATGATGATGAGGATGGTGGTGATGGTGATGGTGATGATGGTGATGATGATGATTATACCGAGGGTGTTGGTGATGATGAAGCTAAGAATAATGATGATGCTGAGGATGCTGGTGACGGTGACAGTGATGATGATGATCATAATGCGGCTGATGAAGGTGACGATGGTGATGAAGATGGTGAAGATGATGATGATGATGATGATGATGAGGATGATGATGATGGTGATGATGATGATAATGATGACGATGATGTTGATGATGATGATGATGATGCTGATGTTGATGATGCTGATGATGTTGATGTTGACGACTATGATGGTGGTGAGGAGGATGAACAAGAAGATAGAGGAGGAGGAAAAGAGGTGGAAGAGGAGAAGGATGAGGAGGAAGAGAAAAGAGGAAAGAGGACGAGGAGAAGGAGAATGAGGAGGAGGATGAGGAGGAGGAAGAGGAAGGAGGAAGGAGGACGAGGAGAAGGAGGATGAGGAGGAGGAGGAGGAGGAGGAAGAGGAGAGTGAGGGAAGGAGGAGGAGGAGGAGAAGAGAAGGAGGAGAGGAGGAACAGGAGGAGGAGGAGGAGGAGGAGGAGGAGAAGGGGGAGGTGAAACAGAAAAGGGAGGGCATAGAGGAGGACAGAGGATGAGGAGGTAAGGGGAGGAGGAGGAGGCGGAGGAGGAGGAGGAGGAGAAGGAGGAGGAGGCCTGAGGTGGAAGAGGGAGGAGAGGAGCAGGAGCAGGAGAAGGAGGAGGGGGAGGGGGAGGGGGGGGACGAGGAGGAGGAGGAGGAGGCGGACGAGGAGGAGGAGGAGGAAACAGGATGAAGGGAAGAAGTAAGGAGAGAGAAGAGGAGGTTGAGTAAAAAGAACGAAAGAGGAGGGGGAGGAGGAGGAGGACAACGAGGAGGAGGAGGAGGAGGAGGAGGGGGAGGGGGACGAGGAGGAGGAGGAACAGGAGGAGGAGGAAGAGGAGGAGGAGGAGGAAACCGGAGGAGGAGGAGAAGGAGGAGGAAGAGGAGGTCGACGACGAGGACGAGGAGGGGGAGGAGGAGGAGGAGGAAAGAGGAGCAGGAGGAGGAGGAAGAGGGGGAGGAGAGGAGGAAGAAGGGGAGGAGGAGGAGGAGGAAGAGGAGGAGGAGAAGAAGGAGGAGGAAAGAGGACAAGGAGGACGTGGAGGAAGAGGAGGAGGCCCAGCGTCGGAATGAGTTCGTCAGCCTCGCCTACACCTGACTAGCATTCAACGCTCTGGCGACCGACCGCCACCCGCCCATGGGGGTGTCCGTCGCAATCTGTGCTGCTTTTGCGAAGTCTCGCGCCTGAGCGGCGGACGGAGACCGGGCACCACGACGCCTCCTCACCTGGTGGAGGAGGCGGTGGAGGTGAAAGAGAATGACGAGTTGACGGAGCCGCAGGATGGAGGGATCCAGGATGGCCAATCGGCGGGGCAAGGACGGGTCCACCGCGGACCCCGACGCGGAGCGGACAAGGAAGAGGAAGCCAGGGCACCGCACGTAGTGGGAGAGGGAGTCTGGGCACGCGCACCCCATCAGACAGGACAAGTCAGGGTTGCGCATGCGGGCATCCGTGACCCAGCCCCCCGTCCAAGTCTTGATGGCGGCCATTCTCCAGGACGGGGGGGAGCGCATTAGAAGACCCACCACCCCCTCCCAGCACACCGCCCGACAAACGCCCCCCCCGACCTGGAACCACTTCTGGAGGCGCTGTACAATGAGAGGGATGAGCGAAGAGGCAGAAGAGTAGAGGACTGGAGCAATGCCCGCTTGGAGGCACCTCTGAGTCTTGATGGGTGGGGCAGGCCCGCATTTTCCTCACGCCAGGCCGACTGGCGGGCGTGCAGGAGGGCGAGGCCTGCGCGGGCGGGGGGGGCGAGGGGGCCGAGCTCCGCGGAGGCCTCCGCCGCACGGCGGAGGTTCCAAGCCAGCGGTGGCTCGATCCAGAAGCTCGGCCATGGCGCGTGCCCGTCTCCCCGTCCGACCCACTGTACCAGCGGATGGTGTTCCTCCGCCTCTGCTTGGAGCATCGGGCAGAGCGATCGCCAGACCGTCGTCGTCTCGAGAGCCGTTCGCATTCTGGCCGCGAGGGCGACAGCACGGAGAGGGGGGAGAGTGGGGCCGCCGAAAGACTGGAGTTCGAAGACGCAGCGCAGGGGGAGCCATGAGCCAGGGGCACGGAAGAGACGGGTGAGATAATGTCGCTCGTCCGCGACCTCAGTGCGGGGGAGTTCGAAAAGCTGCGCTTTGTACTGCAAGACACTCACGGCCCTCTCTCTGCACAGGACTCCACACGCAGCCGCATCCGCGCCTGTGCCAGCGATCGCGCGCGTGCGGTCTTTGTATTTCTGCACAACTTGCGCCCACTGTGCGTGCATCGTAGTTGAGGGGCCAAGGACACATCCCAGGTAGTCTAGCTCAGACACGACCTTGAACTGCTGCCACTCACTCGAGGTTTCCTGCAAAAACTGCTGGGCTTGATTCTGGATGCCTGGCGAGAACGGGGCCCACAGGGGGGCGCAAAAGCATTTGCTGGGCCGAAGATGCAGATTAGCTATCTTGCCCGAGACCGAGAAGACGCGCCGAAGCTCTTTGCGGCCAGGGGCCCCCCAAGTCACAGCCCCGCAGTCGTCCGCGCACCATCTGGCAAGCCCCTTTCCCTCACTGTCGCCGCGGGAGAGGGCAGAGTCAAGATCACGGACAAAGGGGTCGACTCCTAAGGCGAACATGCTGCCCGAGGGAGGGTCGCCCTGCATCACGCCTCCTCTCACGTTATAGAGCGGGACTCGAGCAGAGCATGCGCTGAACGTGGCGGCCTGCACGTAAGTGCCCTGCAGCGCCTCGAGGAACCCCGCAGGGGCCTTCCAGGCCTCAAGAGTCTTCCACATCCAGGCATGATCCAAAGACGGAAACGCTTGGCCGTAATCGAAGGCGAGCAACATGGGCGATGACGAGGCTTGTGGGCAGCCTGCAGGGTCGATCGCTCGCATGCTTGCGACGCGGGCACACGCGTCGAGTTCGACCAGGTTAGCCAAAAAGTTTCTCCCGCGGACGAAGCCTCTCTGAGAGGCCGAGACCGTCTGTTTGATACCACGGGCGAAACTAAAATTGAACGCGCTCGAAATCGCCTTAGGCCCCGTTGATTTCAGAGTGAGGGGACGAGTGGCGCTCGGGGGGCACGAGAAGGGGGGGCCATCCGACGGGGCCTGCGATTTCGGGATAAACACTCCTAAAGAACAGTTGAAGTCGGACCTCATCGGGTATCCCGAGCGAAGCCAGACAGAGACGCGATAGAGAATTTCTGCACCCTGCTTTGCTGCTCCCCACGCTGCAGCAGGCAGGCCATCAGGCCCAGGTGCTGCGGGCCTGGCGCGCGCCACAGCCATGCGCATGGCCTCAGGACCAGGCGGCGGGAGCGCATCCCACTCAGGAGCCGGCGTGGCGAAGCGCTCGAGGTACAGCTCCTGCAGCCTTGCCTTCCTCCGCTCGGAGACGGGGCCCTTGGGCGGGTCGAAGACGGGCTTCCAGTGCGCCGCCAGCGCCGCAGCCATGCCCTCTTGCGTGGTCACCGCGCCGTGGGGGAGGTCCACCGCGGCAAGGTGCTGCCTTGCTCCCCGAGGTGCCCAGAGTTGAGCACGTCGTCGGAGGGCACGGCCTTGCGAGATCATGCGCTTGCGCAGCTCCTCAGCGGACTCCTCCTCTGCCTCCGCCTGCGCCGCGCGGCTGTTGGCAGCCGCCTCGCGCCGCTGGGCCAGCGTGTAGCGGCGCTCGAACTCAGCAGGGTCCTTGAGCGTCACACGATGGGGCTGACCCAGCGCCCCAAGCTCAATCACGTCATTCGCCCACGGGTTCTGCGCCATCACCACCCTTGCCAGCGCAGCGTCCTGCCGCCAGAACGCACGGGCCAGCTGCCTCCAGATCGCGGCGTTAGGGCCCTTCGCTCCGCCGTTGGTGGTCAGCAGCTCGTTCTGCAGAAGCTTGGCCGCCGCCTGGAGGGACGTGACGCACGCCGCGTGCGCGTCGGGAGGGGCCAGCTCGCCCCAGCAGACCTCCGCGCAGTAGAGCTCGACGATCTCGCGGAACCTTGGCAGCATGACCAGCTGCCTCGAGAAAGGGGCAGGGCCCCGCGAGCGAGGCCGCGGTGCTCTCGGCGCGATGGATGCGATGATCATCGCGTGGTCGCTCACCTCGTTGATGTGGAGCTCCCTCGGCTCGCCGCACACCGATGCAGACTGCCAAAGCTGGCACAGGGCCCAGCGGGGGACGCTCACCAGGACTTTGTCAATCCTGGAGGCTCGGCGCAGGCCCTGGTGCCAGCGTGTCGCTCTGGCGGGAGCCAGATCCACCGCCATGCGCGTCGCCTCCTCCCACGCACGTTGGGCCTGTGCCCTCGGCCCCGACGGGGCGGGCCCAGGCGGCAGTGCGCCGAATACTTCCTGCTCCAGGACGTCGCCGCCCACCACCACCACTGCACGAGCCGTGGGAGCGGCGTGGGCCCACGCAAGGTCAGCACGGATATGCTGGAGAAGCTGAGTGCGAACGTCCGCCGTGAAGCCGTGGTTGCGCGCGTTCCAGTGGCGGAGCTCCGCGCCTGTCATGGAGGCCGTCACCTTGAGAGCACGGCCTGGGACAGCGTCAAACTGTGAGTATGTGATGCGGTCTCCATTCACCTGGGCAGGGAAGACAGTGGCCACCCCGCCCGCATCAAATTGAGCCCCGATCGGTGAGGATGCGAAGCAAACAAAATCTCGGGCAATACGACCGAGCAGCTGCTGCATGGTCTCCAGGCCCGCGTGCGTCTCCTGCAATCCCAGAACGACTGGCCCCCGCCAGTGCGTCTGCAGGTAACGCAACTTCCCCTTGATGAGCCTCGGCAAGTAGCTGGCGAAGGCCCTGGTGTTCCATGATGCGAACTGGGCGACTCCGACCGACTCTCCCCAGCACTGTGCCATCCTGCTAAAGGCAGCACCACTCCTGCGCCTCGGGGCGCAGCACGCGAGCCGCCTCCTCTGCCAGCGCGTCCTTGTCGAGGTTGAACTTCCTGATGCACGCCCTGTTCCAGAGCACCTGGGGGCACGACGACGGTGACTCGATTTGCACTCGCAGCAGCTGTGCCCACTGCATGGACAACGCCGCCGCGTCCTTTTCCACGAAGAGCTTGTGTGGGAGTAGACCTTCAATCCCTTGCTTGATCTTCTTGAGAGCTAGCTCGTGACTGACCTGGCGACGGTTCCGATCCTTGCCCAAGTTGAGAAGGACCTGCGATCCAGTCGGTGTCGATGCATGTATCTCTCGCCATTGGCCCTGTCCCACACGCATGAGCTGCAGTAGCTTGTTGACCCGTCTGGCCGCCAGGGTGGCCGCGCCCTTGCAGCGGAGGAGGAAGCGCTGCGGCGCTGCGAGACCGCATCGCCCTCCAGGACGACGTGGTCGTTGAGCTGCGCCTCAGCCACCAGCGGGGCCAGTGCCTGCTCCACCGCCTGCTTGGAGAGCGCGATCTTGGCGAAGACCGTGACAACCGCGGGGTCTGGCGTTCTGTCCCAATTGCCGCCTGTGGACGCTGCAGGGACGCCCGTATTGAGTACCACCAATTCTTCCTTGAGCTTCTGGATCTCCTTCTGCATTTGGTCGACCTGGCCCATCTTCTCCTCCATTGGCACGATGCGGTCCTCCATTGCCTGGAAGCGGCTGTCGTTCCGCTGCGCCATCTCAAGGATCGCCGTCTGGAAGGCTTGCGACATGCTCGAGCTTGCCGATGCCACTGCCGCCTGCAGGGAGGCCTGAAGGCGCGCCCCCATGCTTTGCAGGCTGGCCTCGACTGACGCAGGGGCGCCACCATGGGCGCGCGCCACACCCGAGGCCGCCGCCGCGGGGCCAGGCCGCGCGGGAGGGGCGCCCATCTCGCCAGCGGGGCCGGCGCGAGGGGACAGGTCATGGTGCTGGCAGCGGGCCCACTCTCTGCCAACAGGGGGCAGCCCAGCGCGGGCGGCCGCGGCTGCCCAGGCGTCAGGAGGAGCACCTTCTGCGCTGGCAGCGCGCGCGTGGTGTCGCCGCCAGTCCTCCAGGTCCGCGTCCAGGTCCACGGTGCCAGAGTACCGCGTGGCCCCACGCCCGCTGCGCGAGGTGGAGCGGCCATCCGATGATCCGTCCTCATGTGGGTGACGGGGAGCCCTGCGCTGACGGCTGCCAGCAGGGCGAGCGCCAGCAGCACCTGTCGCACCCCCTTTGCCGCTCCGCCCCGAGCCAGCCTTGCGTTCTTGCGATGGGAACGTGGGGGCCGCCTCCAGCTCGTCAGCGAGTCGTTGGCTGTCAGCTGCAACAGTGTCTGCCTCTGCCGCAGAGTCCGTGCGACGAACAGGATGATGAGGGCGATCGCAGACAGCAGGCCCCATGGAGTCGACTGAGACGATCGCACGCACAGGAACGGGAAAGGCCTCCGTTTACCCGTGGGTGCGAGCGTCAGTGCGGTTGAAGTCTGCCAGGCCACAAGTGGCCTTGCCTGCCGCGGGCTAGCGGTATCCACTTGTTCCACTGAGGAACTCATCATCTTGATCCAAAATGGCTACGGAGGAGGAAGAGGAGGAGGAGGAGGAGGAGGAGGAGGAGGAGGAGGAACATAAGGAAGGAGGAGGGAGAGGAGGAGGAGAAGGAGGAGGAGGAGAAGGAAAGAGGAGGGAAGAGGAGGAGGAAGAGGAGGAGGAGGAGGGGGAGGAGAGACGAGGTTCCTTTTCTCTCTCTCTCTCTCTCTCTCTCTATCTCTCTCTCTCTCTCTCTCTCTATATATATATACACATATATGTGTATATCTATTCCTCTTCGAATATTCTTATATCGGAAAACCGCGGGTCGACCCCCCCCCCCCGTACATAAATTCGGCCCTGGGCGCTCCCATCGGCGGGAAATTCGGAGTATTCGGTTCCGGAGGCCCCTCTCGGTCATCCCAAGCCGCCCTGGCGAGCTCAAGATCGCTCCCTGGACGGTCCCGCGGAGCACCGAAACGGCCCAAGACCGCTCCAACACGCCCAAGATGGTCTCCGGACGGCCCAAAAAGCCCCCAAGACGCTCCGCGAGAGCCCATAGGTCACCCCCAAGCGGGCCCCAGAAGTCAAAATTCGTAAGTTTCCTATAGGTTTTTCATGATTTTCGACGTGCTTGCTTCCTCGACCTCTCGACCACACAAGACGGTCAAACAGGCCCCCAAGATTGCCCCAAGACGCCGGAAGTGGTTCCCATGAGGGCCCCACAACGGCCCAAGAGGGCCCCAAGATGGCCCCAACCAAGATGGCCCCAAGACGGCCCAAGACCACCCAAGAAGCCCCGCAAAACGGCCCAAGATGGCCCCAAGAAGGACCAACGGAACTGACCTTTCGAGCTCTTCCCCCAAATATGGCCCCAGAGCCGCCGAGGGGACCCATAAAGAGCCCTCCGAGGGTCCCAGAGAGCCCCAAGAGACCTCGACGACGCCTTCCCAGCCCAACAAATGAGCTCAAGAGCCCCCCCCGGGAGGCCACACAGATGCTTCAATGAGGTTTCCTACCCAGCCCAAAGCACTTCCGCACGGCCCACGAGAGTCCCAAGACGGCCCAACAAAGAGCCGTCAGAGTCCCCAACGGCTCCCAAAAGCCCCCCAAGACGGCCACAGGAGGCCACAACAACACCTCACAGAGTTTCATGACGGCCGTGAGCCCTGTGAGCCCTACACGCCCCATCAGCCCTACGCTCCCTATGAGCCCTACGAGACCTACGACCCCTACAAGCCCTACGAGCCCTCTGAGCCCCATGAGCCCCTATGAGCCCTATGACACCTCCGAGCCCCGTGAGACCTCCGACTCCTATGCGCCCTGTAAGCCCTATGAGCTCCGTGGCCCCTGTAAGCCCTACAGGCCCCATGATCCCTGTGAGCCCTACCATCCCTACGGGCCCTATGAGCCCTACACGAGCCCTATGAGCCCCATGAGCCCTATGACACCTCCGAGCTCCATCACCCCTACGAGCCCCATGAGCCCTAAGAGCCCTATGAGCCCTACCAGCCCGACGACCCCTACGAGCCCTATGACACCTGCGAGCCTTACGAGCCCTACAACTATGAGCCCAATGAGCCCTACGAGCCCTACGACCCATGTGAGCCTTACGAGCCCTATGAGCCCTAGGATGCCTATGGACTGTCTGGCCCCTGTGCCCCTTGCGAGCCCCACGAGACCTCTGCACCTGGTGAGCTTCACGAGCCACATGAGCCCTCTACCCATATGCCCCCTGAGACCCCTATGGGCCCCATGAGCCCTACGACCCCTACGAAACCTATGAGCCCTATGAGTTCTGCGACGACTCTGAGAACCCCATGACCCCTACGAGCTTAGGAGCCCGATGAGCCCTGCGAGTTTCATGACCTTTCCTGGCCATATCAGGCCCGCAACCCCGCACCAATCCCCCAACCCCTACACTCCCTACATGCCCGAGGGGCAGGCGCAGTTCTGCCATGTGAACTCCACGATCCCTTCTTGCCTTCTGATCTCTCTGGGACCTGTGAATACTACGACTTCTGGACCAGTCAGACTCACAGCCTCATGCGCCCAACGACCCAAAACCCCCCGACAGGCCTCATCATCCTGCATGCACCCTAGCTTTTCTGCTCGACACCTTACGAGCATGTATGGCCTTTGAGCCCTATGAGCCCTACACGCCGTATGAGCCCCAGGAGCCCTATGAGCACTATGAGCCCTGCGGGCACCATGAGCCCCATGAGCCCTACGGGCTCCCGGGCCGTCTGAGCCCCATGAACCACAGGAGCCCCATGAGCACTATGAGCCCTACGGGCACCACGACCCCTATGAGCCCTACGGCCCCCGCGGGCCCTAAGACCCCCTACGAGCCATGTATGGCCTTTGAGCCCCATGAGCCCTATGAGCCCTACAGGCCGTATAAGCCTATGAGCCCTATGAGCCCCAGGAGCCCTATGAGCACTACGAGCCCTGCGGGCCCCATGAGCCCTATGAGCCCTATGGGCCCTGCAGGCCGTGTGAGCCCTACGAGCCTTATGAGCCCCAGGAGCCCTATGAGCACTATGAGCCCCGCGGGCACCATGAGCCCTGCGAGCCCTACGGGCCGTATGAGCCCTATGAGCCCTGCGGGCCCCATGAGCACTATGAGCCCTACGGGCACCATGAGCCCTATGAGCCCTATGGGCCGTACGATTCCTATGAGCCCAATGAGCCCTACGGGCCCGGAGGACTCTACGAGCTTCACGGGCCACATGAGCCTGTGAGCCATGTGAGCCCTATGAGAACCCTTGGCCTTATGAGCCCTATGAGCCCTATGACCCTATAGGCCTTATGAGCCTTATGGCTGCTGTGCGCCGCCTGGGCCTCATGAACCTGATGAGCCCTCTGAGCCCTACGGGCCGTATGAGTCCTATGAGCCCTACGAGCCCCAGGAGCCCTATGAGCACTATGAGCCCCGCGGGCACCACAAAACTATGAGCCCAATGAGCTGTGAGCCCTAAGAGCCCTGTGAGCCCTATGAGCCCTAGAAGCCCTGCGAGCCCTACGAGCCCTATGGGACCATGAGCCCCATGAGCCCTATGAGCACTGAAGCCCTGTGAGCCATATGAGCCCTACGACCCCTGTGAGCCTGACGAGCCCTGCGATCCCTGTGGCCCCATGAGACACAATGAGCCCTATGGGCCTTCTGAGCCTCACGGACCTTACGAGCCCGATGATTCCCAAGAGCCGATGACCTCACGGAACCCCAGGCGCCCTACAATTCCGATGAGTCCTATGACACCCATGACCACTTCCCGAATCGCACCGCGGCAGTGACGACTGCCGGTCCCATCGCGCCTCTCTGGCGCCATGCGACCAAGATTTTAAAGGCGAAGCGAAGCGAGCCGGTAAAATCTTGTGTATACATATGTATATGTATATGTATATGTATATGTATATGTGTGTATATGTATATGTATATGTATATGTATATGTATAGGTATATGTACATGTACATGTACATGTACATGTACATGTACATGTACATGCACATGTACATGTACATGTATATGTATGTGTATATGTATATGTATATGTGTATGTATATGTGTATGTATATGTATATGTATATGTATGTGCATATGTATATGTATGTGTATATGTATATGTATATGTATGTGTGGATGTATGTGTATATGTATATGTATATGTATATGTATATGTATATGTATATGTATATGTATATGTATATGTATATGTATATGTATATGTATATGTATATGTATATGTATGTGTTTATGTATACGTATACGTATATGTATGTGTATGTGTATATGTACATGTGTATGTATATGCACATGTATATGTATATACATTTGTATATGAATATGTATATGTATATGTATATGTATGTGTATGTGTATGTGTATGTGTACATGTATATGTATTTGTATACGTATATAGATATGTATATGTATATGTATATGTATGTACATATGTGTATATATATACATATATATGTATCTGGTTGTTTCTGCGGAAAGGGGGGCAATTGCTCCCCGCCGTCGCTGCCGACTCGCGGCGCTCCTCGAACAGGTCTATCGCGCGCAGGTCGCCCGACAGCGAGTGGAGCTTCAGTAAGGCGTCGAAGGCTCCGACCAGCAGGGGAGTTTTGGCCTCCTGTGGGCGCGGGTGTCGGGGCCTCGAGGATCGAAACTCTGGGTTTTCGGAACTAGGTCACCGAATTTCGCGCATCGCGCCCCACGATGCGCGACGCGCGATCATCTTCGTGCCCTCGCGCCGCCACCCTGGAGAATGGCGCCATGGATCTTCGGTCGCTAGGAACTCTTGCTTGACGTGTCGGGCTGACTGAAATCGCCTCTGCGTAAATTCGAACCGGCCGAACCAACCGAACCGAACCGGCCGAACCGGACCGGTCAAAACACATAAAACCGAACCGGTCGAACCGAACCGGCCGAACCGAACTGGTCGAACCGAACCGGCCTACGACAAAGACCCGAACCGGTCGAACCGAACCGGTTTGCGACGCGAACCGGAACCGGTCAAACCGAACCAGTCGCACATCGAACCGAACCGGGCCGGACCGAACCGCGGCTTTCAGGCCCTTGCGACACGCCACGCCACGCAGGCGGGCAGCGCGCCGCTCCGCTCCGCGGGGCGGCCGGCTCGGAGGGGCTCGGAGCGCTGACGTCTGGGGACTGGGAAATGGCCAGCGTGTCGCGCCGAATCGTGGTGGGCCGACAGGGACGAAGGCTCGGAGGGGGCAGGAGGAAAAGGACGAGATGGGGAGGGAGGGGAAGGAGGAGGAGGAGGAGGAGGAGGAGGAGGAGGAGGAGGAGGAGGAGAAGGAGGATCACCACCTGGCTAATAAGGGGGCTAAGGGTTGGCCAACCTGACCCTAACCCGAAACCTCGTGGCACTGGGCCACCTGTTGTACTCCACAGCGGCCACGGGTGCCGCTGAAACGGCAGTGCGCTGCCGACGCTGAATGCGATGCTGGGGCCTGGCGTGGTCTTGCACCCCAGGCCACAGCAGCACCGAAACGCCACCTTCCACGGACGTGGGGGTGGGGAAGTGGGGCTGAGCCACTGTCGGGGCGGACTGGCAACCCAAGTCCACCCCCGTGCTCAGGGGCCCTCGTGGGATTGGCTCCTGGTTGACGGAACTCCAAAGCTCGGGTTCTATGGCTGGCTGCGCAATCAGCACCGTCAATTCAGGGGAGAGAACAAAAGTGCGCAGCGCTCCTTCCCCCTGAGGAGGGGTGCCTGACACGCGTGCAGGACACACGCGCACGCGCACACACACACACACAGCACTCAGTAGGGCGCCCAGTAAAGAGGAGGCGCCAAAGCAGCACTCTGCAGTGAAGAGGACGGCATGCCTCGTCTGGCTGGCGGTACCCCAAAGCTCGGGTACTAGGGCTGGCTGCGTAACCAGCACCGCCAAACGGAGCGAGAAACAAAACCCCAGATCGAACCTGCATCGAGCCAGGGCGCGTCTGCGGCCAGTGCCGCAGGAAAACTAAGTGAGCGCTCCCCCCCCCTGAGTCGGGGTGCCTGACACGCGCGCGGGGATCGCGCTCGTGCGCGCGCACATGTACACTGAGAATGAGGCGACGCCAGGACGACTCGGCAATGTCCACCCCTGGTGTAGAGAACGCCAGGACGATGGGCAAGCCTCATCCCTGGTGTGGGCCTGTCTGTTCCTGGGCTTGATCTGCTTCGCTGGGCAGCTGTCGCGCAACTTCGATGGCTTTTCGATAAAATTGCTCGAATGGCTCTGGGGGCGGAAAAAACACGGGCGGAATCCCATCCACTCCTCGGGCGTCTTAGCTCCAGAGTGCGGGCTAACTGGCTTCTGGCATTGTTCGACGACGGTTTCCGCGGGCACTCTTGTAACAAACGACCGCGGGCTCCCGCCTCCGAACAGGACCCGCAGGAGCGACGAATAATCATCGTGCTAGCACGGCGCACGTACTCGAAACTCAAAAGCTGGCGGCCTCTGGGGCTTTGAGCTAGCGAGGCTAGGCCCGCGCAGTACCCTGGACATTTGTCGTCGAGACGCTTGAGATACGGGTCCTGGGTCATGGCCCTGACCCGGCAGAGGGTGTAAATAAACGCGCCGCGGACTGATTCCCAACGGTGGAGCTCGCCCGCATGCCCTTGGGGCTCGGAAGGGGCAGAGGCGAGGAGGCCTCGGAGGAGGGGGGGGGGCCCCAGGGTCCCAAGCAGATTCTGCCGAGGCGGCTCCGATGGGCGGGTACTTACTAACTGGGCGGCTCAGGGACTTCTCACCCGCTCTCGTGGCCAGCGCTGGCCACTTAGGGAGGGCCCGAGCAACATCGAAGAGGAAACGTCACATCATGCTTTGGTCGAAACTACTCTGCTCCAGCTCCGACTGGGATGGCTGCCAAAGGGTTGCCGCGGATCGCTTGGCTGCTTTATCCGCTGCATCGATCGTTACCTAAGGCGTGATTATGGTGGGCCTTCACCGTCACGAGACAAGAAGACGGCAGCGCGGCCAGAACCTCGAACCCTGCACGTTGATTCTTCCTGGGGTATCCAGGAGACTGAAACAAAAAGATCGATCGCACGTTTATAGTCTGCGTGGACCTGGGCAACGAGGGGCGAAATGATGCGCGCAGCTATAATTGCAAGCATAACGGCCGCACCCGAGCTCTGGGTGTACAGGTTGTCTACCTGGCCTGGCAAAATCGCGAAAGGGGCCTTGTTTCCCATGCTGACTACGGCCCAACCAGCCGACTGGAAAGCTGGGTGGATCGATGTGTCGCAGCTGCCGCCCAAATAGACTGGCCCCGAGAAAGCTTCCTCCAGGCCGACGTCGGGATCTGCGCACCAGACTCGGCAATTCGTCAGACCTGTTCAGATTGTCGGACCTGTTTCCGATCAGGCCTGATCTGGAAACCGAATTTGAGGAGCGGGTCTTGTCCTTGGAGAATGAGGCCCTGCCCCCCTGGCGATAAAGCTCTATCCCGCTCCTCCTGCGAGATGGGGCACTGGAACAAACGACGATGCAGTGAATCATTGGGGGCTCCACGTTCGCACTGGGTGTCGATGTCACACCCCGCATCTTTGGCGCTGGACTTTGTTCAGATGCCTTGCGCGAGGAAAGTCAGAAGACTGCCCCGCTCTTGCTCGTTTAAAGTGGGGCTGGCGAGGACTCCCGTGGCAACTTGGGCATCCACCCGGGGGCCAGCGTGTCCTGGTTTGCTAGCAGTCCGCTCTCTAAGCTGCTGCTGCCAAGCCTGCTGCATTCTCCATTGCGCAAAGGCTGGCAAGAAACGCGCCAGGGGACATCGCCCCCCGCCCCCCCCCCCCCCCCCGAGGCTTGGCTTGGAAAACGAACAGGGAAGCCAGGGCCAAGCCTATGCGATGCAAGGAAAACATTAAAGCGGCGAAGGGGCCCTGACCACTGCTCCAGCGAGAGGGGGCCTGGCCCATCCCCTTCGCGCGGAGGAAAGGTAGGGGCGCAAGACCTTGGGCTGGACTGGTGGTGGCCGCCCACACTAGTAAATACCCAACTAAAGCGGGGCTAGGGCAAGTTTCCACGTGGGGCCACCAATCAGGAGGAGGCTCAGGCATCTGCTTCTCGTGGCACATTTTGGGACCTGTTATTTTTAAGTACTGCTGCTGGGCGATGGCCAGCTGGCTGTCGTTGAGGCCCGCGACCTCGTGGCCGAATGAGGCCGCCGCAAAAAGACCGTGTTGTAGATCTTACGCGTGTCCCCATCCAGCTCTCCGGATGGCTCCAAGTCTCCTCATCCTCTTCTTGCTTGTGCCCATCCTGGCTTTGGCTACTCTATCCTTTCTCCACCTGCGCTGGGGGGGGCGCCTGCTGCGGTCTCGCAGCCGAGGTTGGGACCCGAAATGTCCGTTGCACTGCCTGCTCGGGCTTGCAGTCAGCGCTGCACTTGGCGGCGCACTTGGTCCGAATACGCGAAGAGCTGAGTCTTGGCGGGGGCGATCTTGCTGTCAAGATCGGTATGGATGCTATCTAGCAAGCTCTGGGTGCCGCGGTTCAGGCGGCTGGCGATGCGGCAGATCTTGTAACCATGATTATGTAAGAGGATATCGTCTATGAACATGTAGAGGTCGACATAGGGGGTTCTGCTGGGTCAGGAGCCCAGGGGGTCTATCGTGTATATCTGTATGATGTATGTTGCAAACCCACACCCCGCTGCTACGCCATGTACTGCGTGACCCACAAACACCACCAGGTCCTGGAGTCCCACATATCTGAGGCTCGCACATATTCCCAGGATGATCCGGAGCAGGGTGACGGGGAAACCGTTGCGAAGAGCTCGGGTAGCAAGCTAGCTGCGATTAAAATGTTCATAGTAGTTGCTGGGGTCGTAGAGGACCATGGCAGAATGTAGATGTTCGTTACGCTTGGAGTAGCACTCGAAATCTAGGCTCTGTTTGAAAACTAGCTCCACTATGGAACGCCCTGCTTGGTGAGCGAGACATGGACGCCTGTGGTTCCGTTCCCATTCTCTCGCTGCTGACTGTCCTACCCTACCCCACGCTCGATACAGGCGGCCTGGCATCATTCCAACCGATATCATTGCTGGTTTCGCTGCCTGCGGATATTGCTGCTTGTGCGTCATGATAAGAACGGTGAGTATTGCCTGCATCTGCGAGGGCGTGAAACCTAGGGTCTCGCTGAGGAGCATCAACTGCTCGACTATGTCGGCCTGCTGCTCGGTGATGAGCGCGAGATGCCTCGGGTGGACTCCGTCCCACATTGAGGCTGTCATCACTGAAAAACGCATAGCTGCCTGAAGGGTATTGCCGTCCATCGGCCCCAGTGCTATGCCATCGCCGGTGCCTCTTGGAACTGGGTTATTTTGTGGCTTGACCGAGGCGCCCCAGATGCTGGCAAGTCGATCGGCTTCCCCTTCTAGAATGCTGCCTGGGCGGCCTGACCATCGTCCCTTGACGAGGGTTGCTGCTCGCTTCCAGGCCACAAGGCCCCTCGTCCATCTCTGGCCCAGCCGACTCCTCCCTGGAATGAAATCTGGACCCACGAGGCCCAGGCTTTGGCAGATTCGGAGTGTTGCCGTTTCCGTTCGCTGTCTATGGCTCAGTCCAGGCCCCGGAGGACGGCGTTTATAGCATGGTCGGCTGCGCCCGCGGATA